GAGCGTGCTGCTCCGACCGGTTTTAAAGGGTTAATGACTTAACTGGTCAATAAAGGTTACACTGACTAACTCCACCACCTTGTAGTATTACACATAAGTACCGACCAGCCCCGGCCCCAATTCCTCTGACATCTCTTCGACATTTTGGACATAAAAACTGGCTGCAGTTTCTTAACATTGTGCTGACAGCTCTAGTTCCTGATTTTAAAGTCTACTCCAAAATCACAGCTGTCTTAAAACTTCTAAATTTGCCAGTTTATCTGATGTTCTTTTAACCGTTTGGAGGCTTGAATGAAGACCATCAAGTTGAGCTGCAGAGATTTGTTTTTAGCGACTGACCTCAGAGATGGTCGTCTTGCAGACCTCCACCGCTACAGACTCAAACTTTGGGTCTGTGGTCAGGTTCAGCTTATAGTTCCACAGCAGCTGGGGGAGAGAAGATACGAGGTATGACAATTACACCAATAAGGACAGAGTGGAGAAAAAACCCAAGAAAGAAAAACAGGACAAATAAAAAATAAAAACAACATTTTAACATGTCAATCATTTTATATTATAAAGTCTTTCTGTTATTTAATGTGACAGACATTCATTAATGAGACAAACTTCTGGATAGCGGGGGGGGAAAAAAAAATGCAGTAGTACCGATGTTGGCTATCGGTTGTTTATATGAATCATTACAAAACTTGTGCATACTTTTAGTGGAAAATCATTGCGTCATAAAATTATAAGACATCATAGTGCATGCTAGGAGGTGGAGTGTGAGGGTAGAGAGAGAAGAAAAAACCCCACACACTTACATGGTTGCAATCTGTAGCGATTTCAGAGTCCTGAAAGAGGAAGAGAAAAAAAAAAAGTTTAGCTTCTTCAGAAAGTTTAATTATTGGGTCTGAATATTTGAGACTAAACAGAGAGGACACCTAATTACTGAAATTTTGCAATCTATAACATCCCATAATCCACTGCAGTCTTGTGTGTTGTGGGATGGTGCGTTCAGGCATTCAGCTTCTTGCTTCAGTGCGGTCACCGAGGCATTTTCCTGCAGCTCTGCTTTGACCCGAGGTGACCCCTCCCCCGACTTCCTGCCCCCACCCTCGACCAGAGGAAAACTCACTGTGTGGGTCTGTGAAATAACAGCTCTGCAGATGACCAAAGACTTTCTGACCATTTACCACATGGTAGCCACAGTCAGCTAGGAATAAACTGCCAGTGTGTTTGTGTGCTCTTTTTACAACGTATTTTACACACTGGTGTGACAATGCTCTTCACAAAAACAGTGCAGTGTGAAGAGGGGGAGGGGGAGACGGTACACGATAGTACCGTTGAGTTTTAAAGAGCACTGGGAGGACTCCGTTTGTAAATGGGAACCAGACTGACGCAGAACAGCAGGACGAGAAAAACAAGCAGCATCTACAAACTGACACCAATTAAAAAAAGCTAAGTGAGAGCGATGTCCCCCCCTCTCGCTCACATCGCAGAGTTCAGTCCCCAGAGAGGGGAAAGATGGATGAGGCTACGGTGACATCACCCGCTGCTTTCTGGAGGCTCATTTCGGACGGCTGAGATGAGCATTATCGCCAGCGCAGGGTTAATGCTCGTCTCGTGAGGAGGAAAACGACTGTGAAACCGCGCTGGTTACTGCCTTGTCAGCCATGCTGTTAGCCATTTATCACAGTGTTTGCCCTTAAAATACATGTTTTAAAGAAGCCCACACATGCCACTTTTCTACTTTGTATTTTTTTGGTAAATCAGATTGGGGATACAGGGAATGATATGTGGCGATCCTAAATACCACATTACTTTGGACGTCTGACCTCTTCTTCAAGGTCAAATAAGGTCAAACTTTCATAAAATGTCTTATAAACTATGCTTAACCCTTTTTTTTTTTTTTTTTTGTGAATCCATCAGCGGGCCCGTTTCACAAACCCTTTTTAAACGACTGTACCTCTGTTACCCTCTCTGGTAGAGACAAAATTAAATTGGTTTTCAGAAGGAAGTGAAAATGAGCTTTTCGGGGATACTCAGCGTATCACAGTAACGCAAACCATTCACAACGTACTGCAGTCTGAACACAGGCCGAAAAATCCCCTCTGCCGAGATGTGCGGTTCACATAAAGGGTTCGAGTTAAACTGCCGTTGTATTGTCAGCATTTAGGAAATGACTGATATATGACAAAACCAAATATCACATTACAGTTTGCATCCAAATAGGTCAGATCTGATCTCACTTTTACATTTCATATCTGCCTTTGTTTCATGTTAAACCCAAAACCTGCTCCATCTTTAAATAAAGTATTACCAA